CTCATCTAGTGCCACCTCCTGCTCCAATGCAGGGTCAGCTATGAGATTGGAAATCTGGAACTACTTCATTAGCATGGCAGTGTTTCACTTGCTGTCTGTTCTCATCTATTCAAACATCTCCCTGCAAGAGTGCTGCTGACAGTGCATTTACCTGGAGTTCTCATGGAAAGCCACAGTGAAGTCTGTTTGCTCGTGCTCAGGGTACAGAAAGAGGACAGGCCAGTTCAGGTTGCCATCAGCATCTAAGTGCACCTTTGCCCCTGTGGCGTTGTCAGACTGGAACCCATCTAAGGATATCTCAGCCAGGCCATCTGATATTTCCTCTTCTTCATTTGAAGGCTCAAGAACCAGCTTGATATTTCTTTCCTGGAGGGGAGGGGAGGAAAGACAAGAGAACTCCCCAAACAACCAAACACCAAACGTGGTGGGGAGAATAAGAGTATGGTGGGGAGAATAAGAGCAAAACAGCAGTCAGGAAAAAGGACAAATTGTGCTATTCTAGTTAACAAATCAGCTCTTAAACATGCTATCAAAAGCTTTCCTACAGTATCAGACTCGAGTGACTGGTATTCCCAGTAGAATCCAGAACCTCAGCCAGACACCCAGGCTCCTCTTAAAACGGATGAGAGGTGAGGATCCAGAGAGCCTGCATGCTGAGAGGACAGCCTGAGATAACATGGGGAAAGGGATTCATCTAAATCCTGTTCTTTGGGGTCTCTCAGGTATAACTTCAGGGTGCAACTACATGCACCAGCTCCCAGAACACCCATTCTTCCAGAGAACTGAAGAAAGCTCCCTCCTGTCTTTGGAAAGACAACCGCAGAGCAGGAGATCTGACTTTATATAATAACCCCAAATATTTACACATAGCCCACACTTTTGCTGAGGAAGGAGATGGTCCAGGATTGATTCCTTTCTCTACCCTACCAGATGCTTATCTTCTATCCTTCCACTGAAGTAATGACCATCAACAGCAAAGAAAGCAAGGTTCACTGAGCCAGTGTGATGCTACAGCCCAGCAGCCAGAACACTCTCTTGGGTGCTCAGTCCATCTCCTAACACTGGGTTTGTATTTTGCATTAGTTGTTACCTGAAATATGGCAACCTGGGAGCTGGGGCTTGAGCCACAGAGATAAGGAGAATCGTGTTTTTAACTCAGTTTTTGGCTCTAGACCTCAAAAGCCTGTGTACAAGAGTAACATCTTAGAGACAAGACAGCTCTTAAAACACCCAAACCAAACCACACAAAACCACTCCCCCTCACCGACCCACCTTTATTGCTGCAAGCAAAATTTCCTTTTCACACTGTTCCTTCTTCTCCATCACCTTTGCTTTCCTTGCATCCCGCTCCTGAGCTCGCTACATGGAAGAAAAGGTTGCACCATGGTCACACACAGCAAGTCAATGCCCATCACTGCTCTACCCTGCAGTGGAGAAATCAGCTCAGAACTCCAGAAGGGTCCCCTCTGGCTCTTTCCCCTACACATCTCAACACACACAATATGGAACCACCACTCAGTTTTATCTGGGGATATTAAACTACACAGAAACTGGTTTGGAGCACTCTTCAACCAAGGATCCCAAAGTGCTGTTTGACACAAAGCAGGTGACAAGCACTGTAGGCACCAGTCTGCTTTCATATTTACCTTTAATCTGTCAGCTTTAGCTCTCACTTCCAGAAGCTTTTTCTCTTTTGAATCTATTTGCAAGCCCTTCTCACACCATGCTATAGCTTCAGAGAAATTCTTTAGTTCCATGTGACAGAGGGCTCCTGGAATGATTTAAGATTTTAAGTTTCTAGTCTAGGAGTCAGTACACAACTACTATACAAAGTGGTGCTTATAGACAGCATCAGCCCTGGTGCTTTCAAGAGGCACACACAGCAGCACGTGCGTGTGTCATGTTTGACTGTAGGCTTCCAGCAGGTCAGCTGAGAATAACATCTAACGTATTTCAGTAGTTCTTGCATCATTTGCTTATTTACTCACAGAAATCAGCAGAATGATGCTAGAAGTGCCCGTTACAAGCAAAATGATATCGTTATAATTAATATTTCAGTATTTGTCTCATAAGGAAAAATAAAGTGGCAATTTCCATGGAGTGAGAAACGCTGGGGGAGTGGAAATAATCAAAGCCCAAAAACTAGAGCTGTGGAAAGCAGCAAAAGTTATGCTGTACTCTATAGAAACAGGCCCAATGCCTCTGGCAGATATAGAAGCTGAAGTGCAAAGAGCAAAAGGACAGTGTTTTGGCTGAAAACCCAAAGCAAAACGCAGAGCTCTGATTTGGGGAGACACAGCAATAATAACACAAGATATCCCTTACAGTAACTGCTTCGCTTTTCTGAAATGAATACTGTCCTGAAACAGTATGATGTTCACTCACAATAATTTAAGGTTATTTAACACAGAGACATGCACTGAAACAAAGCAACATCTAAAAGTCTGTTCCAGGGCTTCAAAGGGTAAGAGCATCATGCTTAAAGCTAACATGTGCAAAGCTGCGTGGAAACTATGTTCCTTGCCCTCCATGCTTAAACTCTTACCTCTTATGACTGCTTTGAGGTGGGTGGGCTTTAGTTTTGTTGCTTGGATGGCATCATTGAGAGCAGAACGGTAGTTACCTACAAAGCAAAAGGAACTGCTCAGAACCTTCCACTGACACGTAAAATCTACCCAGATCCCCAAATGATAAAATAGCTCATGTGGAGACTCTGTAATTCACTGGTTCTACAATCACTGTGAGGAGAGTGAAGAAAGGAAGAGCAAACAAAGAGCAAGAAGCGAAAGGACAGGACTCCATCATTCAGGGAAGAGGTAAGTAACATGACTGTGAGCAAACCACCTCCCAGCTGCAACACCCAACAGCACTGAAAGGCCAAGAACACCTTCCCTTCTGCACAGATGCTGTTGGTAGGTTGGGTGGTAACTCGAGGAGGACACGACCAGAAAAGGAGGAATACAATGTGCTGCTTAAAACAGATTTCTGGGGTCAGAGCATCCTCCTGCAGCTCCAATCACCCTGTGAATGTGTTCGGCATCAGCCCTACCAGAAGGGATGCGATACCGGACCTACTGGTCACCAACAATCAGCGCCACCAACACTGGAAGCAGCCAGGACTGCAGTGACCATGCCCTGATGGGGTCTGCAGTCCCTAGGGACATGGGGAAGCAGCCTGGCCTGAGGCAGGCGGGCATGTGCCCCGTTACCCAGGTAGAACTGCGCAGCCCCTCTGTTTGTGTGCAGCACCGCGTTCATCTCCGGGTCCTCGCACTTCTTCTTCAGCCCCTCGGTGTAGGCGATGACAGCTTTCTGGTACTCCTTCTCCCTGAAGTACTCGTTCCCTTCGTTCCGGTACATCCTGGCCAGCTCTGCAGGGAGCAAAGAGCGGGGACAGGGCTTGAATGGAGCCCGCAGCGCCTCAGGGCACCCGGAGCCCCGCGGAGCCCCGCTGCGCACCTGCGGGGCCCTGCTCCTCGTCGAACAGGAGGGACTGCAGGCACGCCAGGTCCGGCTGCCGCGCCGCGTCGATCTCGGCCGGGCACTGCTTCATGAACATGGGGATGGCCTCCAGCTCCTGCGGGACACACACACACACACCGGGGCATCAGCACCGTCCTGGTCCGGATCCCGCTGCCCCGGCCCCGCCGCCTCACCTGCTCCCACGTGTCGGGGTGCAAACCGCCCCGGTACCGCGGACCCGAGCCGTCCGCCCCACCGCGCTCCGCCATGATGCTGCCGCTACGGCCCGCCCCGCGCCGGCCGAGAGATCCGCCTCTGGCCCGGCCCTCAGCCCCGGCTCCAGCCCCGGCAAACCCGGCCTCCAGCATCCTCAGCCCCGGCCTCTCCGCCTGGGGAAATAAGGAAGCTCGGGAGGGATCTTATCGCTCCGACAGGAGGATGCTGCTAGGAGGTGGGGATCGGTCTCTTCAAGTGACAAGCGACAGGACAAGGGGAAACGGCCTCAAGCTGCCCCAGGGCAGGTTTAGATGGAGATGAGGAGCAATTCCTTCCCCAAAGGCTGCCCGGGGCAGTGCTGGAGTCACCGTCCCTGGAAGTGCTCACAAACTGAGTAGCCGAGGCCCTCAGTGCCATGGGTTAGTGGTGGCCTTGGCAGTGCTGGGATAATGGTTGGACTTGAGGAGCTTAAAGGTCTTTTCCAACCTGGTTGGCTCTGATTTCACCAGGCGCACGCTGCAGCGGGCACATACAGCCAGGATATCACTGCTTTGCGGGGCAGCGTGACTTACAGCTCATAGGGAACAATGTGGCCTGGACATTTTTATCCCCAGGCTCTGTAGGTCCCAGACTTCATGTTTCCTTGGTGTTTTGTTTCTTGTGGTATTCTTATCATCATCATTATTATCATTTGGTTGGTTGTGTTTAACCTGTCAAAGATTCTCTACCACTCCGAGGCTGCATCCCCAAACCCACACCATCCCCACACAAGCCCAGTGGACCCAGGTTGTCTCACCAGCCAGCCAGACTGGGATGCAGTCCCTGACACCACTCTCCCCCTCAATTCCTGCACATCTGCAGCACTACGGCGTTCTCAAACTGAACAAGGCTCTGGAGTTCACTATTTTGCTTTAATTAAGATTAACCTCCACCTTCATAGAACCTGCGTGTCTCCAAAGACACAAACAGAGGAAAGGTGCCTTCCTTCCTCTCCCTCTTAAAATCCTTCATGCCGAGAACTTGGTGCCTAAAGAGGAGGGAAGCCCTCCTGTCTGCCTTAGCCAGCACTCACACAGTCACACGTGCTGGTTAAAGCAGCTCAAGCACCTGCAGCCAAGAGAGAGAAATGTCCCCAGCCCCACTGGGGAACATGGGCTGACCCCAGCTCAACCTGGTTGCAGGACACTGTGGCTGGCTCCGATGTGAGCTGGATTCAGCTCCATGCACCCAGAGCCAGACAACCTGCTGCGTGTCCTTGCAAAGGAACCAGAGCCATTCAGAGAGACCTCATGAAGCAACGCTGAGACATTCAGAGACGGGGATTTAAGGGACTTGCACTTTACTCAGCAACTCAATGACACCTTCCTTGCTGAGGAACAAAACCTCACCGGAGCTCTGATTCCAGACCTCAAAGACCGGTGGGTCCTCGCAAACCCTCTTCCCCGCTATGACCACGAAGGGATAACCCAGCTTGTTGGCATCCTTCAGCCTCTTGCCGATGGTCAGCTGTGTCCTGTCATCCAGCACCGAGTCCCCAGCGAGGTGCGGCAGCGCTTCGGCCACGTCGTCGTACACCCGCTCCAGCAGCGCGGCGCCCTCCTCCTCCTCCTCCCTGCTGCCCCTCTTGGGGGGGATGAAGCAGAGCTGGTAGGGAGCGATGAGGCTCGGCCATCGGATGCTGTCCTCCATGGAGAGCACCTCGATGGAGGCCGCCAGGATGCGAGTGATGCCCAGGCCATAGCAACCCATTTCTGCCAGCAAGGGCTTGTTCTCTGGGGAGTAGAAGACAGCATTGAAGACCGAAGAGTACTTGGTGCCCAGGTAAAACGTGTGCCCCACTTCGATCCCTCTGGTCTGGGTGAGCTTCCCCCCGCACGTGGGGCACGACGTCTGCTCCCCGTTTAACGTCTCCACGTTGGCCGCAAAATGTCCTTCGGGGCACAGCACCAGCCTGTCCTCGCCGATGTCCGCCAGCACCTGGAACTCATGGGACATGGAGCCACCGATGCTGCCCGTGGCCGCCTGCACTTTGACGAAGGGCAGGCCCAGGCGGCCGAGGAGGCTGCCGTAGGCACCGCACACCTCGCGGTAGGTGCTCCGAGCCGCCTCCTCGCAGGCGTCGAAGGTGTACATGTCCTTCATGTAGAACTCCCTGCTCCGCAGCAAGCCGAACCGCGGCTTGGGCTCATCCCGGAACTTCCTGCTCACCTGGTAGAGCCGCAGCGGGAGCTGCTTGTGGGTCAGGCCGCTCTGAGCGGCCACCAGCTCCGTCACCACCTCCTCGTGTGTGGGGCCCAGGCAGTAGCTCTTGCCGTGCCGGTCGCAGAGCCGGAACAGCTCCCGGCCCATCCGCTCCCAACGCCCGCTAGCACGCCACAGCTCGGCGGGGCTCAGGCTCGGCATGCTCAGCTTCTGCCCCGCCACCTCCCGCATCTCCTCGTCCACCACCTTCACCAGCTTCTCCATGGCGCGCACGCCGGCCGGCAGGTAATGGAAGCAGCCGGGGCCGGACGGGTGGATGAGCCCCGCTTGCAGCATCAGCCGCTGGCTGCGGCAGGCGGGTTCCCCGTCCGCCAAGGCCTCGCCGCCCGCCTGCAGGTTGCGGGGCTGGAAGAGCCGCGACAGCAGCAGCCGCCGGGCCCGCGGCGGAGCCGGGCCGCGCCATTGCCGCACCGCGGAGCCCATGGCGGGCCGCCGGCGGGGGGCGCCCTCTCACGTGGAGGGGGGAATCCCGTCCGCCGCCGCCCGGAAGGCGGAAGCGAGCGGGTGAAGCTCTATGGTTCCGACGGGTTGGCGGCGGGCGCCACCTGCCGGGCGGGCGGGCGGCAGGAGCGTGTGTGTGCCCCCCGCCGTCGGGTACCGCTCGCAGCAGCATCCCGATGGATGCGCCGAGATCCTGCAGCCGGGCTGCAGGGGGAGAACGGGGTTGTCCTCGGCTGCGGTGCAGACCGGCCCCGGGGGATGCTGCCGCTCCAGGGAGAACGCTGCTGGGGTTTGGTGGCCCCTGAGCATCACAGCTCTGCTGTCCTGCGGCTGGGATGTGGTGGAGGCAGGGGACACCCCAGGCTCCCTCCTGCCCTGCTGGGATGGGAGGTGGAGGTTCAGATGGGCCTCAGCAGGCAGCCAGCCAGCCGTGGGCAGGGGATGGAGGTGGACAGGCATTGGCAGCAGGGGCAGCAGCAGGGCTCACACAGGGATTTGTCTATTGCTTGTTTTAATTAACAAGGTTTTAGAAAACTGAGAAGGTGCTGGGAGCTCATGGGAGAGGCTTTGCTGCCACCCCAATGACTCGGAGGGACCGTGACCTCTCCTCCATCCTGCTTTTTCATCATCTCCAGTCATACCTCCAGCAGCAGCTTCCTCAGCTCCATCCTTCCCAATCAATCATGGCTTTGGAGAGCCGGATCACCTGCAGTGTGTGGTTGCAGCAGACCACCCCCAGCTCCTGCTCCAGGCCCTGCAGTGGGAATTTCTCCTCATCTTTCTGATGCTCCACCTCCTGCATCAGCGTTTCTGTCTTCAGCCTCGCCTGACCAAGGAGCACAGGCAGTGTCTCCAGGAGGCACTGCAGGCTCTCAATGGAGCCTGCTTGAAGCAGCTTTTCAGCCACACAGGTGTTTGCCCAGGAAAGCTACAGTTTGGATGGGGTATCAGACTCCATGGCTTTGTGCAGGAGTTTCATCCACCAGGAACAGTTCTTGCACAGTGTCCCTCATGTAATAGCAATAAATAATAAATGGAGGAGGGCAGGACAAAATGAGGCTGTCGGGAGAAAACAGAGACCAGCGGCTGCCTCTGAGGATGACATTCCCCATCGGGCTCTGGGGAGAGGAGTAACAGCCTGCCCCCTCTAATTGTGTTCCAGATCTCACAGATACACCTTCATGTGGTCTGGAGAGCAGAGGAGACTCATCAGACTGGGCCCAGCTGATGGAATGGAATGAGTCCCAACCACTGGCACCCATCAGGTCAGCTTGTTGGCCATGCCAAGGTACACCAGAGTGCCAGGCCAGCTTACCCAGCTCCAGCACCCCGGTCTCCAAAGTGTGACCCCAGGCTGGCTCGTGGTTGACAGTACTGGGAAGGACAGTGAAAGCTTACCCTGATTTGATTCCTGGTGATCATGGGGTCCTTGGAAGCAGCCAATCCATCTGCTCCCCTTCTAGGCTCGGTCTCAAGACACAGGGGCAGCATCCCCTAACGTGTTCAGGGGTTGACCCCTTTGGCCATAGGAGTGCGCCTGGGGCCAGGCTGAGAAACCAAAAGCCTTTTTCTGACATCACTGCAGCTCTCTCTGGTCCAACCTGGCAGGCAGACATCGCCTGGCACCCAGTGACCACCTCCACACTGCACTTTTCAGCGTCCTGCCTTGACCCCAAAGGATGTTAAACCTCAAAGGATGTTAAACCTGGATGCTCATACAACCGGGAAGAGTGGTTGTAAGCGTGTACTGAAGGAGAGGAGATACCACTTCACTGAGCCTCATTTTATGAGGAGTTAAATGATCCTGTTTGAATACAAAGAAGTGAGTCCTTGTTTTAAAATGGGGTTTGAAGAGATCTTTGTGATTCTTCTATGATAGGAAATACAAATGTTAACTGTAACGTGTGCTCATGTTTACAGGGGACTGGAAATGAGCAAAACTAAGGGGTTAAAGAGCACATTTTGATGTTGCTGGGTGATTTTTGAGCATTAATGTTCCCAACTAGCTCACCCAGCTCTGTGAGGTGACTCTGTGTGATCCAGGGGGAAGTCCCCCAGTGCCAGAGCCAGGATCTGACCTGGATTTCCTGGCTGCCAGGTAGCAACTTCCCTCCCAGCCCTGCTTGCCCTGGTTTTGTCAGGCAGTCTCTGCTCCCTGTATGTGTCTCCCAGTCCAAAAGCAATGCCAGGCTGGCTGGGAGAAGCTCTGTGGCTGCCTCGGGGACTGGAGGAGCAGGACAGGTCCCTGTGAGAGGGGACCAGCCCATACTTTGGACACACAGCACACTGTGCTGGCCCTGACAAAGACTTCCTGGGTGCAGGATGCCTGCCAGCTGAGCTGTGGGTCCCACAGGACCTCCGGTGCCACATTCCCTATCCCTTTGGCCATCTCTTTGCCCAGGAAGTGGAAGGTTTCACCAGGCAGTTCATAGCAGGAGGGTTCTCTGTCACCATTTCTATTGCCTATAAGGACCCAGGGATGTTGGTCCAGCTGAACATGAGCCAGCGGTGGCCAAGAAGAAGCCACCATCATCCTGGCCCCTATCAGCACCAGTGTGGCAGCAGGGCCAGGGCAGTGATCATCCCCCTGCATGGGGCCCTGGTGAGGCTGCACCTTGAATCCTGTGTTCAGCTCTGAGTCCTTCACTACAAGAGAGATATTGAGGTGCTGGAGCGGGGCCAGAGAAGGGCAATGGAGCTGGTGCAGGCCCTGGAGCACAAGTGTGATGGGGAAGGGCTGAGAGACCTGGAGGGGGGGGTTCAGTGTGGAGAAGAGAAGGCTCAGGGGGGACCTAACCCAACCCAGCTGACTCCATGAGTTGTGCTTCTATCACCTGCCAGAGAAGCAGACCGCGTTTCCACCAGTGACTCACTGCCTGCTGCGCTGATCAAAGGCACAAAACCACCTTGGATTGATCCTCTGGTGCCGTGCTTTAACCGGGAGGGTTTACAAGAGCTGTGGTCTGCAGGGAAAGCTGATACCTGCTGTTAAACCAGCGGGCAGGACTGGATGCTCGGGGGCTCGGTGCCTGAAAGCCGGTCTGTGCTCCTTATTTCTTCCAGCTGTGCTGGAGGAATCCAATAAAGGCACTGCTGCCCCTGCAGCCTTTCACCATGCTGCTCGCCTGCTGCTTTGCTGGGGACTGATTTATGCCACCGGGCTCAAATGCGTGGCCTGAGAGGGGTATGTCCTGCACATGGTGGGACTGAGGGACTCGGCTGCCATATGGGGCCTCCCCTCATTGCCCTGGGGCTTTCTAGGGGTAAAAACGCTGAGGATGGGGGGGGAAGATGAATGAAGGACCAAGAAGAGAAGGCAACTGCTTCAAAGCAGTCCATGGTGCCAAAGCAACCGAGGGGCTCAGTCTCAGGGAAGCCACCAGTGAGGCACTGGAGGACTTGGTGACTTGTCAGAGCAGTGCCAGCGTCCTGTTGGAGGTGGGCAACCTCTTCTGACCCTCAGCAGGATCCCAAAGAGCCTGCAAGCATGGCTGGGACTGAGCAGCAAACCTTGCTTTCTGCACCAAACAGCAGCCTAGCACCAGGGAACTGCTTCCCCAGGCCTGGCATGCTCCTGTCTGAAGCACCTTGGGTGCTAAGGGGACTGCTGTTCATGGATGTGGATCCAGACCTGCCAGTGCTCACAGACACAGCAAATGCAGCCCCATAGAGGACATCTGCACCAAGAGCATCGTTTCCTTGCTCAAAGTGGGACTGGCTTTAGGAATGTATTTTTTAGCAGCTTAGAGATAATTTGTCCCTATAAATGCCTGGTAAATGGTTGGGTCCAGCTCTTTAGCTTGGCAAAAGGTTATAGCCAGGCTCCTGCCTTGGCCCTGCTGTCTGCCAGCCCGGGAGGGGACATTCTGTGTTACAGTGATTCCGGTGCCATGGTGATGACTGCCATGGCAAGTGCTGGCACCATCCCTGCCGCCCTGGAGGACCAGAGCTGCCTGCATGGAGCTGCAGGCACTGCTCCGGAGCATGGGCAGCCAGGTGAGGTCACCGGCCGGGCTTGCATGGATGCACAGGGAGAGCTGGACTTGCGGTGTAGCTGTTCTCACCTCCCACACTGCCTGTGCTGCTGGGGAGCAGCTTCTTGCACTGGGCTCTTTTGCACATAACAGTCTGGGACACTCCAGGGTGGAAGCGTGGGATGTGGGCTGCTCATCCTGGAGCTCGCTGGTGCTGGCAAACAGAGAGCATGGAGGATTGGATGCGGAGCAGCAGATCCCTGTGTCCATCTCCCCTAATCACTCTCCTTGGCCTGGCTGTGGCTGGCTGAGGATGGGCTCAGCCTTGTGCTGACGGCTCTGTGTTGCAGGGGAAATCATCAGCCAGAGCAGAGCAGGGCCCCCGGCTCATTCAGCTGCCCCATTTCCAGTTCAAGGAGATCATGAAGAGGCGCAAGCGCCAGGTAAAGGCTGGGTTTCATCCCCCCTTTGCTGGGGTGAGCGGTGCAGGCAGCACTGCCCAAACCCACCCTCACCCTTCCCCACTCTCCTCCTGCAGGATAGGCTGGGCCCAGGCACGTACAACATCAAGGACTTCCTTCAGGAGATGCATCCCACCAGCATCCGGGGGATCTGCGACACGAGGGATGAGCGGTTCAGAGATGCTCACGGGGTCCGTCGCATCCTGACACGGGACATGCTGGGGACTTGGCTTTGGAAAACAAGCCTATAGCCACCCCATCTTCTCCTGCAGGACTGCTTCCCTGGCCCTGGCACGTATGGGAACCCCTATATCCTGCTTGATGAGAGGGACAAGCGCTCTGCCAGCACAAGAGGGATGATGGAGAGCAGGACGGCCAAGTGTGCACCGACGGAGGCTGCGGCAAGTCCTGCCCCTTGCCCTGGGCACACGCTGAGGGGGGTGGCCCTGTCCCACCGCTGAACGCAGCTTTTCCCTTGTGCCTGCAGGGCAGTGGCCTGGGACCTGGCACCTACAGCCTGCGGAGCAGCATCGGCCAGACGGGTCTCAGGAGGGAGGCTGAAGCCCACCGGTGGTGGCTGTCAAGCCTTGGAGGTGCGGTGCCACAGGGTCCAGGGCATGGATGGGGTTTCTCAGTGAGCTGCGGCGTTGCTGGCACATAAGGATGCAGAGAGGCATCTGCCAGCATCTGTCCTGTTGGGTTTTGCTCCTTGACTTCCCTTGGAGAAATGTGCTCATGCATAGAATCTCAGAATGGTTTGGGTTGGAAGGGACCTTAAAGCTCATCCAGTTCCAACCCCTGCCACGGGCAGGGACACCTTCCACTAGAGCAGCTTGCTCCAAGCCCCTGTGTCCAACCTGGCTTTGAACACTGCCAGGGATGGGGCAGCCACAGCTTCCTTGAGCAGTGGCAGGGCTGAGCTGTCATCGCACGGGATGGATGGTGTGGACCAAGAGACCACCAGCAGCTGAGCTTCTTGTGCTGCTCCCTTGCCCCAGCAGAAGCAGAAGAAAGGCTCTGAGGCGGTCGCTGTCCCTGTCAAGAGTTTCCTGGATGAGCTGATGTCAAATGAGAACAAGAAGAAAGGCTGCTTCAGCACCCTGCCGAGGGACCCAGGCTGCCCCACGGAGAGGATCTTCTGGTTCACACTCAGCCAGTGCCCGAGGAAGGTAGTCAGTGGGAGCAGGGACATCGTACCATGGTGTCACCAGCATCCCTGGTGGTGCAGCGGGTACCTGGGGTGAGGATGCTTTAGGGCTTGTGGGAATGTATATATGTATAGATGGATGGATGGATGGATGGATGGATGGATGGATGGATGGATGGATGCTTGGATGGATGGACGGATGGATGGATGCTTGGATGGATGGATGGATGGATGACTCTCCAACATTTTGCAGCTCTATGAGCAAACTGAACTGTAACAGGTTTTCTTCTGCATAGAATGTGATGGGCCCAGGCTCCTACAACCCGAAGCCCATTGGGAAATCAGCATGCAACAGCCAAACCCCATCCTGGTCAACTGCCAAGAGATTTGACAGAAATTTCTACCGCCTCTTTACTGGGAATGAGGTGAGTGAACAGATGCAGCAGTGAGGGAGGGATGTGGGAACAGTCAATAGTCAGGCTCTGAGCTTCCTCTGTGACCATCTCCAGTCCATTACCAGCACCCTGGGAGAGGGTGAAACTCCTCTGAGCCAGAGTAAGGGGTCCCTCCTCTCCTCTGTCCTCTGAACAGAAGTGCCACATCAGGAGCTGTCTGTGACAGAAGGGCAGACTGACCTCAGGAGGAGCTTTTCTCTCCCCACCATCAAGGAAGCCTGGGTGATGTGTCCAGATACCCATTCTTTAGTGAGGAGATGAGCCCCTCTCTGGCTGCTGCTGTTCTTGCCCAGAATAGGCTGCTATGGAATAAATGGTGAATAAAGGCAACCTGCCAGGTCAAGGGAAAGGTGCCCCCGTGCACAGCATCATGCTGAGCATCAAGCATGTGCTGTCCATAGGCAGGTGAGCAGAGGGGCAGGAGCTCAGCAGTGACCACATTATCTCTGCTTTCACCTTCAGGCCTTTGCTCTTTTCAAGGGATGCTCTCAGACAACCCTTCCCATTAGATTTGCTCTGCATCAGCTGCAAGCAAGCAGATGCACTTCATGGATGATAGCAGCTGAGTTTGAGTTCTTTTAGATGCCAGGAGCAGCTTGTATGCTCCCAGAAAGTCATATTCTGCTGCTTGAAAGCCAGTTTTACCTTTAGCAGCATCAGCAGCACATTGCAGGGACAGTGCAGGTAGGAGCCCTTCCCTTCATACCCATTCCTGGAGCTGTATTCATCTTGGCAGCTTTCCTACAGAGAACCAGAGCAAAACCTAAAGGCCTCAAAGCAGACAGGGGAAAGCTTTAATCTGAAATAGCCCACCTTGGCTAGGGACGGGGAGCAGACTTCCACGTGGCTTCTCTCCTTTATCCAGCTGAGCAGGGAACAGACAACTTGAAAGAGGTCAAGGATGAAGACATAGAATCATAGAATGGTTAGGGTTGGAAAGGACCTTAAGATCACACCTTTGTAATTGTTAGGGAACTCACAGATCACATTCCAGTGGGGAGGCTGTGACAGGGCAGCCCTTCACTACAGCTGACTGGTGAGTGTGCAGAGCTTACAGACTTCTTTATGGACAGCTGTGATGAGAAGAACTGTTCATGAAGGGGAGTGGTGGGGCTGACACTGATTATGGCATCACGGAATCACAGACTGGTTTGGGTTGGAAAGGACCTGAAGATCATCCAGTTCCACCCCCCTGCCATGCATCTCCTCCCTCGCCTTCAATGCAGGCTCAGTTTGGGTAAGACACATCACATTGTTCTACCAGTCACCAAGCAGTGACAGAACTGGTGCACAGGAGGGTTTCCCAAACCTGAGCACCCCCGTGGGTGCCAGGAGCCGGCAGCTTGCGCCATGGTGTCTGATGGCACCTGGGCAGGGCAGCAGCACCCCCACACCTATAAAAGAAGCGCCCCAGGGCACACCAGTGGCCAAGAGCCCCACCAACAGGGCAGGCAACCAGGGCGCGGTGCTGTGCTTGGCACCCAGCAGAAAGTCACAGCTGCCCTGGCAGAGGTCCAGTTGAAACGTGTTCACATCCCGGTGCCAGGGTGTGCCTGGCTCCTGTGCCAGGACCAGAGGGCAGCAGTGAGTGTTCCTATGGCAGGTGCGCCCCGGAGAGGGGCTCCTCTGCTTTGGGATAGAGCTCTGGAAAAAAGGAAGGCTGAGGAGTATCGATGGAGTGCAAGAGAGAGCTAAACCATTGGCAATGGTGATGTCTCCTCCGTGAGCACTCCGCCTGCCCACATGCCCTCACACAGTAGCTATGAGGCTCTGCAAGTGGAACTGAACAAGGACAGTGGTTCATCGAACTTGGAGGTGCAAAACTGCTTCCACAGGGAAACAAAAGATGGGTCATTGTCACAGGAGGCTCCTCTTCTGAAAGGAATAGAAGGCCCAGTATGCAGACTGGACTTACTCAGGGAAGCCTGCTGCCTCCCTGGGGCCCTGGTTAAGGATGTGAGGAGAAGGCTTCCCACCTTGGTATGGCCCTTGGATTATTTATCCATTATTGGTCTTTGAGATAGGCAGCTATGAAGTTGCAACAAGAAGTCCAAAGGCAATCCAGAGACACTTCAGGGCCTTGGGATAACTGTTAAGGGATCAGAAGCTCAAGCAGTATGCTCATCTGTCTTTCCAGTTGCAGGGAATGATGAGGGAAGAAGCAGGAAGAGCCAGCAGATCAATACCTGGCTCTGAGCATGGTGTCACCAGCAGAATTTTGGGGGATGTTTGATCATGGGTTGTTCTCCACAACACCAAGCGTGCTGGTGGTGGATGGGGTATCCCTGTTTGGAAGGGGAAGAAAGATCTTTGACAGCACTTAGCAGGGTTCGTTGGAAGAGCTTTAAACTAGGTTTGAAGGGGAAAGGGATAGACCCAGGATCCCTATGGATAAATCAGGGGGCAGCACACCAGTGCTTGAGGGATGATGTGCTAGTGAAGTCCTTTAGTCTGCTATCTCAGTGGAGGTAGGGGCAGCAAAGCCTCAAGAGTCACTGGTGTGTTAGAAACCATGGAAGCACCTGGGAGTGGCCCCATAGGAATTAGGGCTTCTCCCCTGCAATGAGGTGGTGGGATCAACAGCCCAGCTGAAGTGCATCTACACTAATGCATGGGCAACAAACAGGAGGAGCTGGAGCCTTTTCCCTAAAGGGGCTGTCAAGCATTGGAGCAGGGATGTGGTGGAGTCAGCATTCCTGGAGGGATTTGAAAGATGTGTAGGTGAGACCCTCAGTGACATGGGTTAGTGATGGTTTTGGCAGCGCAGGTTCAATGGTTGGACTCAATGATGTTAAAGGTCTTTCCCAACCCAGATGATTCTGTGATGTTTTGCAGCTGCAGGCCTGGCCATGCACAGGCACTACCTGGTTTTGCCCCACTCACATCCCCTGTGCTGCCTGTGGACGGGGAAGAACATGAGACCTTTTCCTTTAAGAACCCTGTAGGCGCTGGTCGCTACAACATCTCCAAGCATGAAAAATACCCTCAGAAGACAAGATACCAGTCCCTGTACCAGTGTGATGCCCAGCGGTACCTGAGCAACCTGAAGCGGGATGCCTACTTGCTGTAAGTCTGATAGACAAGGGGCTGTAAGTGGTTTCACATTGGCTTACAGGTAAATCATCTTGAGCAGCTCTGGGGAGACTCTCGGACACTACAACTGATGTGAGATGGGATGATCATGTAGTTAAATCATGGATTGGGACTGGGGAACACTCACCAGCCCAACCACAGGGTCCATCTATGGACAGGGAGATTGGTATTGCTGCATCTCTCCCCTCCCTTTGCGCTTCCTCATTGCACAGGGATTTGGGGAGGGTTAAAGAACTGGGTCTTGAGGCACCGGAGAGATGCTGAGGTGGTTGCTGTATCTTGTGAAATGCAATTTGACTGCAGCGGAGGTGTACGCTATTAGTTTTCATTGAGTTAGAGGAGGCAGCCTGGGAAGGACTGGGAGGTGGATGGATAATTAGGCTGTCTGGACTTGTTCCCAGTGCAAGCACTGGACTGCTCAACAGCCCTGAAGAGAAATCACCTTCTCAGGCTGTGCCTCGGTTTACCCATGTGAGGAGGGAGGATAACACACCTCACTTGCACCACAAAGGGCTTTGAAATTGCTAGTGTGAAAACCCTGTGATGCAGGTAGGAAGGATATTAATGAGAGGCCTTGGGGTAGCCCTCTGCTCTCACCTTTGCTTGTGGCCAAGATCAGCAAGCTGCTGCGGTGGCATTGGCAGCTCTGCAAAAGTCTTTCTTCACCTCCAGAGAGTAGCTGGAAATCAGTCTTGGCTGAATATAACTTGACAGCTTTCAGTGGAGCAACCAGAAATCAGCTGTCCTGTGATGGAGGAGGCAGAATGGAATCAAGCTTTCAATATTGCCCAGCTTTGCTCATCTTGCAATAGGAATAAAAGAATATGTGAACAGTGAGCAGGACTTGGAATTCAACCTCATCTCTGATCAAACAGCACCTGCTCCAGAACCACTCTTCAAGTTACAGCTGTGCTTTTACGGGAGCAGTCAGGCTTTTGAGAGCTCTGTTCATCCCTGTGCTTGTTAAGACTAATGAACCATTGACTGGTTTGGGACTGGAAGAGACCTTAAGGCTCACCCAGCTCCAACCCCTGCCACGTGCAGGGACACCTTCCACTAGAGCAGCTTGCTCCAAGCCCCTGTGTCCAACCTGGCCTTGAACACTGCCAGGGATGGGGCAGCCACAGCTTCTCTGGGCACCCTGTGCCAGCGCCTCAGCACCCTCACAGGGAAGAGCTTCTGCCTAAGAGCTCATCTCAGTCTCCCCTCTGGCAGGTTAAAGCCATTCCCCTTGGCCTGTCCCTACAGGCCCTTGTCCCAAGCCCCTCTCCAGCTTTCCTGCAGCCCCTTTAGGCACTGGAGCTGCTCTCAGGTCTCCCCTTCAGGAGCCTTCTCTTCTCCAGGCTGACCCAGCCCAGCTCTCTCAGCCTGGCTCCAGAGCAGAGCTGCTCCAGCCCTCGCAGCATCTTTGTGGACTCCTCTGGACTCAAGATAAATAAGATTAATTCAGCCAGTAATCTGAGCCCATTGAATCACATCTTTTTTCCACAGCAAGCGGCTCAAGCCTGTTGCTAAAATCAACTGGTGTGATTTGATATCTGCTCCACGTTGTCCAGATACCTCTGAAGAAATCACTTTTCCCAAAGCAAGATGGTGCTGGAAAGCCCAGGTCAGTGGGTAAACAGCAGACATGGCAACGGAGGAGACAGGGTAGATGAAAATGCTTACAGCATGTTGGCATGCAAGTCGAGATTGGAAACAGCTCAAGTTTTGCCTTGTGCTAATAAAACACTCAGACAATGAACAGTCTTTTCTGTCAGTAATTATTTCCACCTTGGGCTTTGTCAAAGTGACAGGCTTCAGAAGAGGGTGACAGACACTGCCTATCCTCTGAAGTATGGTCTGCTGGCACTCGTGGCTCATTGTGTTGAGCACTTGTGCTCAAACGATGCTACTTAAAGAAGCTGCAGGTACCTGTGGTACCACAGCTGGACCACCAACACAGCTCAAGGGAGAGCTGTGGCTGCAAGTGCACTGCTGTAGAGTAGCAGGGTAGTAACTCCGGCCCTTAGTAACTGCATGTGTGTATGTCCTGTGCTGCCTTTAGTGTGGCTGCATGCAGGGATCTTCATCCCAAGCTGCAACGTACAGCTTCACTTGAATTAACAATGCAAAGGTTTTATGGAGTCATGGGATTGTTTAGGTTGGACGGGACCTTAAAGCTCATCCAGTTCCAACCCCCTGCCACAGGCAGGGACACCTTCCACTAGAGCAGCTTGCTCCAAGCCCCGTCCAATCTGGCTTTGAACACTGCCAGGGAGGGAATTGGGGGGAATTTAATGTCATCACTGCACATTTTTTGGGATATTAAATCCTAGACATGATGGAGAAAGGAGCAGAGTTGTGTCAGTGGCAAAGGAGGATGGCCATAAAAATGCACAGGGAGTATACTGGTTCACTTAGAATTAAGCTTTATGAAATCTCACACCAGTGTTTAGACCAGACTGGAATAATTAAATTGAGGTGTCATTATCCATTAGTTGTGGCTAATTAAATATGCTAATTAACCTGCAATTATCCTTTGGTGGGGGAAGATAACTGAGCACAGGTAGAACTGCAGTCAGTTAAGGAAATCCTGATGATTGTTGTGGAGAGGCAGAGGAAGGAGTTCCCTGATAGGCAACGTCTGAGCAGGGATGTGGGTGAGCGCTTGCTCCAGAGATACTGCTGGGGCAGCAGAAGAGGCTTGTGACACACAGTAGGCCAAGGCCAGCATGGGATGTGATTAAAGGAAGGTGGTTTCAGTGGGCCTGAGGCATTTGGAAGCCTGGATTTCAGGAAGAAGCCTGCAGCTTCCTCCTGGGAAGGGAGTGCAAAGCTGTGACCATGGGAGGGGCAGGAACACCTCTGACAGCCCACACAGTTGCTGTGAGGGTATTTTCCAAGGCAAGAGATGTGGATGTGAAACTCCTCAGGCTAAAGAGTGCCCTGAATCTTCATCCTCCCTTCTGTGGCTGCTCATTCAAACAAGGGATTAGATTTATTAGCATGAAGGGGGAAGAATAAAGTAGCTATCAACAGCTGTAGCACCTAAATCCACCAGGGAAAGAATGAGGTGAAAGTAGGGGAGATCAGGATAACTGGAATCATGAGGCTACGTGGTGCTAGTGGGGCATCACTGAAGGGTTAAGGCTCAGCTGTATGGTGTTTGTTTTGTACAGTGTGTCTTGGGGCAGAGGTTAAGTGTTGACTCACAGACTTCAAAGCCATTCCTTCACTGTCTGCAGCACCAGGGTCCTCCCCTCCCAAGCACATAGCAATGTTTCCTCACCAGCAGCATTCCTCAGTGATGGCTGACCATTTGAAACAGGACAGCAAGCAGGAGAAACGACCTTGGCAGCTGTTGAAAAGTAAGCAATCACGAAAGGACACCCCTATGAGCAGTATGCTGGCTAGATCTTTATTTTAAACAGCCCATACAACCAAAAAGTAAGAGCAATTATGCATGTGCATGTGTGGGACTGATAACAGTTACAGTACCCAGTATCATCCAAAGTTTGCCAATAAATTAAGGAGTGAAAACCCAAATACAGTGCATACCTAAAGATCATCAGCACGTAGGTGAGAGAAACACAGCCTAAAGAAAAGTATTTGCATATCCTCTAGCTGTTTTAACGTGGCCCTTTAAAAGCTAACCAAACCCAATCTTGCTCTGTGCAGGTTATCTTACAAACGCTGGGCTAAAGGGCAGCTTTGCCCCAGGGACAAGGGGCAGGAAGGCTGGTTACACCCTGAGCATCAGCCTTTGCCTTCCCCTGCACCCCAGGACGGTATAGCAGATGCTCCTGGATCACTGACACAGCTCCTGCCCCACTCTGCATGGGTTGTGTCTCCCCATGGAAGGCTGCCCCTGCTACCAGTCCCCTGCACTGGGTTTTGATCATAAGGGGTACCTTATCTGCACACAAGCTGCCCAGCATGCAGTGTGAGTACCAGGCCAACCTGATTCTTGTTACTGCTTTATCATTGGTTTCATCTGGACAGTAAACATCCATCTATCAATAAATAAAATCATTGGTTTAGCACACATAGAAATTAAGCCTCCCACTGGTAACTGTTTAAGAAGTTCCTCATGTTACCCTCTACACAAGAATATGACTTTCTTCTCCCTCAAGCTCAGTAAGGTTTCAAGTAATAAGTTTAAGTACTGCTTGAGTAAGACATGGGCTTGGTTTGGAACCCAAAAGCAGCAGAAGGGGGGACTGAGCAGTACTTGCTGCTGATTTCCTCTCCAGGTGACTGAAACAGTCCTTTTACAAAGCCTATCAACCTAATCCAGCTAAAACATAAAGCAAAAATGGGACTCGAGTCAGAACCAAGGCTTGTGTGTGTCAAGATTCACAACCACAGTTGCTCCTATCCACAGCCAATTGCTCTAACAAAACTCATGTAAAGAAAGCTTGGACTTCCTCTTCCTACTGGCCAGGCCAGAATGGTCTGAAATAACCCATATCTTCTTCCAACCAAGTATTCATAAGGCACTAAAATAAAGCAGTGACCAAACCCTCACCCAAAAAAAAAACCCCAAAACAACCCCCAAAAATCCACATAAAGTGACCCACAATGAATAAAACCTGAAATCAAAACCTGGCTATATGAAATAGCAGCAATTTCTTCAGTAGTCTGCAAAGCCAGAACACAGATACTCGTGGGGCAACCCCCAATGCACTGTTAGCCAGCTACAAAGTACCTAAACCCTACATCCACTTAAGCTTTACAATCAAAACGGATCTGATAGGCACAAGTAAAAAGCGTTCTATTCACACCTCAACGCTTCGTTTTGAAACTGAAGCCCCTGCCAGAGAGTTTTCACTGCTCTGCTGACATGACAGCACAGTACAACCCACGTGGCACAGCACCAAACAGCAGCTGGAAGGTTACGGTACCACTGCTGAGGTGTCCCACCAGTTACCAACCGGGGGCAAACGGTTTTAAACATCATGATCAATGTGACAACGTGTTCAGCTTTGGCACCTCTTTCTGCACCCTCCCTGCTGTTTTCAGAAGTCATGTTACATCGAGCTATAGCACACAGCTGGTGTGACTCCAGCATCTTCATCCTTTCCAACTGTTCTTCTTATGCTCGGAAATAGGTGAATCCACCCATGTCACATCAGATACAAAGGCTAGCACTTGGAAGAGCTCTTCAAAACAATCACTTTGAGTTTGGAAAATCCATTTGAAAACATACAAAGAAATACTAAACATAAATTCATAAAGCAGGAATTCATACCTTTAAACATCAACAAGAATGAGCTTATTTGGAGAGCAATAAAGCTTTTTTTGTTTTTAAAGGATATACTGACTAGCTATAGGTAAATTCATCTTTCCCTGATTGCTTGGTTAGACCATCCAGGCTCAGTGCCTTGCAGCCTTGCAGATTTTGTCATACACTTCTGGAAAGGCATCCTTGCAATTCATCTGCTCCCGCAGCTTGTGGTATAAGGACCCATCAAACATATCCCAGAACTCCTCACGGGTCATGTAGCAATCTGCATACAGCATCTGGAAACTGGAGAGGAGGGAAAAATAAACCAGGGGACAATATTAATTGTGCCATAAGATATATCAAGGATAAAGAAAATTGTCAGGGCAGCAAATATTCAACCAAGAAACCCAATTCAAAATACTTTTAAAAGGCAGGCAAATATAATTGCTCACATGGACTATGCTGCAACACTCAGCCAATTGTGTTTTGTGGATTTAACATTACCATGATCTCTTTTCCTTACGGAAATAACACGTAATGGTGAAAACAGCAGAATACTGCTAGAGTCGTTTTAGTGAAGGGGAAGATGGGAAAAGCAAGCAGTTAAAATAACTGTTGCCTTTAAAATACGGTTCAGAACCCTTCTTTGGCCATCAATGTACCAATGCTTTAGTTAGTTTTGTTACTGCAAAAAGAAGGACTAATAAATGTGTGTAAAACAGTGGTTCACGTTAGAGATTTTGACCACGTGCAGCCAAATCTTCTGACAACTTGTATGCTAACAGCTTGTGTTCACAGAACCACAAGTCTGGAGAGAACCAGAAGTTCCCTCAAATGAAGAGTTTGAAACGCTCACGTAACCTAAATTATCCCTGGCAAATACTTTTCTAACTGCTTTTGAAAGCCTGTTTGCCTTTTCTTCCATTCAAACCCTTTCAATTCCAGCTTCAGAAAAAGGAATTGCTTTTTCTGCACGCTTTCTTATGATCCATGGAGGTGCAATCATGGCATCTTGTATTAGTCTGTGTTACAAAAGGCATTCAAGGCAGATGTAGCAATGCATTCTTTGACTCTCTAGCTTCTCTGAACTGCACACTGAGAATATACCAGGCTGAGGAGATAAAGTTATAGTGTAAATGAAGAAGAGTGTAACAAAGGTCCATTTACAGAACTAAATGAAACCCTTATTTAGCTGTGGACAACTCCCCACTTTCATCCTGTGCTCTCCAAAATGCAGCAGTAAAACAGGAACTCTTACATGAAAGCTCTCTTGTTGTGTGTGATTATGAAACTGTGAGATTAAGCATTTATCCCTTATTCATTTCCCAGGGACAGGTAGAGATGAGACAAAACTTTGTTAGTAAAGAGCTTTAAATTAAAAGCTTGATTTCCAGTTAATTAAAAAAAAAAAAAACACCTTAAAATTAGCTTTTGGTTGCTTTGTTCTCTGGCAGATCACTTAGAGCAGCTAAAAGTC